AAAAAAAAAAAAAAAAAAAAAAAAAAAAAAGAAACAACATTCTCTGATGTGCTGTCTGGCTCCAATGTCCATGAAGCACAGATTGTCAGGAATTACATCAGGACTACAACTTGTCTGACCTTTCATCCTACTATCAATGGTACGACAACCAATCAACATTCCAGGGCAAGAAATACAGAACACAGCTCTAGACACACAATCTTCTTCATATATAGTCTGGCCTACTTGAAAAATGTAAACAAGACAAGGATTTGTAATTACTGTATCCCTGAATTAGCATATTTTCATTAAAAGCTTAAAGTATTTGCAGACATGAGCCTATAAAACTCAAGATCCAGACATCTCCAGGAAGAGGTTACTACAACCATCACTGCATAATCATGAGAAACAGCAGAAGCAATGAAGATTCGATGATTGAGAGCTGTGTGATTGAAATACACCAAGGAAAGAAAATAGAGAACAAAACTAGTTTAAATCAGTGAAAGGTAATACTTCATTACATGTGTCTCATTCTTTGTCCCAAGCCCTCTCGTCCTCTCCTATGTTCCTTCCTGTGGGATGACCCATCCCTAACAGGCTTGAGGGCTTGAGGGCTTGAGGGCCAGACAGCCCAAACAAGTAAAAAAGATACTTTCTGAGAGCCAGCCTGGGTCTGCCTGATGGTCTTAGCAACAACAGCTGAAACATGATCTGGAGATGACCTGGACCAATGAGAGACAGCCATGTCACACCAACAGATGCATATTCATCAGACCTCCCCTCAGGGTGGGGTGGAGGGTATATAAGGCTTGCTTTTTCCTGAATAAACTGAGCTTGTTGTTTGGACATTCTCCCGGAGTCTGTGTGGTTTGACTGTGCGCCTACTTGACCCCCGCACCTCAAGGGAACAACAGCAAGGACCCTATTACACCTTCCTTCTTCCAAGGTTTTGTTTGTTTTGACTGCCAAGAATTAGCATGATTGATGACTTGTGACGTTCAAGGATTGCTAATACATGCTCTGGAAACCATGGGACCTGGAAATAAGCACTAGCCCTCAGGCTGCAACATGTGATCACACCTGAGCAGCAGCTACATGAACCAAAACAATAGAAGCAGCTCATATATCTGTCTTTCCTAGCCACTGATGGCAAATCTAATGGTGTTTTATTTTGCATTTTGTTTTGTATATGCTTCTTCTTTAGTCTTTTAAGATTAAGATAGATTGAAGCAGCTAAGGACATCCCTCAAAAGTATAGTATGTAGTTGCTTGCATACATGAAGCTTCAAGGTTCAATCCCCAACACTACAAATATATGTATGCATATTTGTATAAATGACTTTTAAAAATAATTGAACAAATGATAACTAATTAGTTACTGATAGTATAGTTAATATTTTAATATGATTAAGAAATCAATATAAAATACTAAATAAATATCCATATCAAATACTAAATAAACAGCCAGGGAAATACAAAATTTAAAGCTAAACTTTATAAAACTTAGGTAAATGGACACTCTCAGATATTTGCACAGTTCTAATTCAAGATAAGGCAAGAGGATCCCTGGTAGTAACTTCTGCTGCCACATCCCCTGGAACAGGAGACTGCTGAGGCATCATAGTGACAGGGGACACAGACAGCAAACATAAGCTGGAAGCTGTAGATAGAGTGATCTGATAATAATGGAACTGGGAGTTCTTAATGCAGTCAAATATGGGAATACACAAACAAACAAGTTGAGAACACTTTGCAAATGCCTCCTTTTTAATTTCTACCATTAAATAGTTCTAAGAAACAGCTTGAGTCTAAGTAACTAAGGTGGAGACACTAATGTACCTTCAGTCATCTGTCAGAACTGGACTCACTCTTTGCAGCAACTATACTTCTTTAATTCTTCTGAAATTCCAAGGAATAAATATAAAAATAAATACCTAAGAGAGCTCTAAGGAGTTTGTCATAGAGACAATACTCTCCTGCATAACCCACATATCAGAAAGCATCTCAAACCATCAGTATCCTGTTCTTTTGCTTCTGTGGTCACTTAGTATAAGCTTTTTCTATTCTAAATGTCTACCAAAATATTACAACTGTTACCAAAAAGACAGAGTCCCTATTCATTCAGTTCCAGAGGAATATACTCAGAAAGATTATCTCCTTGCTCTTGAAAAATGTAATCAAAGGCAAAAAGTTCCAACAGTGACACTTTTGAAAGATTCTGAAACAATAGAAACCTCTTAGAGGAAAATTTGCACAAGATTCCAACTCAGGAAGAAGCTGCTGACTTCCAGATTGTGAGCTTCCTAAGCTAAGGAACCCATCTGTCAACAAGCATATTTTTCACAATCTACTTAAAGTGCATTTGTTCAGGCTTCCCCTTGAAGGTTCTTTACCTTAGCTTCTGTGGTACTCATACTGGGAAACTTGCTGGCTGCAGCAGATGAAGCTGGCACCTAGAAAGGAAACAAAGAGTCAGACTTGCCATAATCCCCACTGTACTGGCTGGTTTGTGTATCACCTTGACACAAGCTATCGAGTCACCAGAGAAAGGAGCCTCAGCTGAGGAAATGCCTCCTTAAGATCCAGCTGTAAGACATTTTCTCATTTAATGATCAATGGAGGAGGGCCCAGCCAATGGTTGTTGGTGCTATCTGTAGCCATAAGTTTTCTCAGGTCCTCTCAGGCCCAGTGGTCCTGCCTGGCCCTACAGTCCTGCAGTCACTTATAAAATAATCACTCAGATGAGCTGAACAAGCCATGGGACCAAGCCAGTAAGCAGCTGCTATCCATAGCCTCTGCATCAGTTCCTGCTTCTGGGATCCTACTCTGTTTGAGTTCCTGTTCTGACTTCCTTCAGTGATGAACAGCAATGCTGAAATGTAAGCCTAATAAACCTTTCCACCCCAACTTGCTTTTCGTCATAGTGTTTTGTCATATCAATAAAAACCCTAACAAAGACACCTACTTAAAATTATCCTCAGCTTTTCTTCACACTGCCCCTAACTTTCCACCTTGGTTTTGCCTAGTTTATTTTATCATGTTCACAACATGTACACAACTCCCAATATGTGTTGTCGGACATGGGATAAAAGTCTGTGACCAGATCAAATTGGCTCAGATTTAGAGTTTGTTATGTGCTACATATTAGGCAGTTACTGAGTTTCTGATCTTCAGTTTCCCACACACAACTTTTCTTCAGTAGATAACAATTACCTTGCAAGTTTATATACACAACTGTTTGGTAAACTTTGTTATAACTGTCAATACTATTTTTAAAAAGAATGTGCACTTTGATACTTGTTAGAACCCTTTATAAACTTTGTTTAAATCCTAGCTGGCTCTGTTATTTACTAGCACTGTGACTTTAAGCCTCAGTTTTTCAGATATGTAAAATGGGACATAGTGTCTATTTCACAGGTTTTATAAGTATTTGCAATAATTGTGTAAAATTTCTGCCACATTATAAATGTTAACAAAATTACTAGCACGTTATTCCTAACAGGACATAATTTGAATGTGAAGGAAGCCCCACGTATATTTGAATACTTGGTCCCCAACTAGTACTTTTTAGAGAGCTATGGAACTTTTAGAAATGGACTCTAGCTGGAGGAAGTGGGCCATTAGGATGGCATGGTTAGGGGATAGACTATATCTCCAAACCCACAAGCTAAAATAAACTCTGCTTTCTTTAGGTAAATTCTTTCAGATATTGTATCACAGCCATTAGTAACTTATCTATCTACCCATCTATCAACTCTATCTATCTATCTATCTATCTATCTATCTATCTATCTATCTATCTATCTATCATAACAATAGAAGAAACAAGTATGTAACATGAATGGCAATTGTCCTTTTAATGCAATATAAGAAAAAGAAGATGGAAGACGGGTATAGAGAGAATGTATTGCTGTATATCTGTCTCATATAGAGCACAAGACTTAATAAATAGCCCTCCTTTGGAATGCATGGGGGAGGTGGAGTCCTACAAGTGAATAATCTAAGCAGTGGGTGACACCTGAGCATGTGGATGCATGTATGGTATTGAGTACTATTCCATTACTTAGCTTGTATCATTGTGATAATATTAAAATAGACATTTATCATGTTGGCAAATCCCAATGCAGGTTCACTTAAACCTTTTCACATTTGAATTCATTAGGATTTCCAGCTCAGGGATTCCATCTGGGAAAAAGCTGTCTACTTAACCAATCCACTGTCAGTAATTAGTTGTGACTATCAGGAAGATGGGAAAAGTCTATAATGTGGGCCTCACTCTGTCTCCAATACCTGGCCCAGAGCCACTTCAGAAGCTATATTAAGAGCAGCATAAGCTTGTCACTGCTCTTCTCCCACTCACATTCCCATTCAAGGGGATGGTAGTATGACTGTAAATACCTATTGCCCATGACCAAAATCACTTACCGACATGCATCAACTAACACTATAGTTGAACTATGGTAACTTACAGATAGAAGACCACAGTTTTAGCACACTGACTTTTTGAACAAAGTCATATGAACTTACTTATTTCGAAGCACTCATAGGTAGCAATCAGGTGTGCCTTTCAACAGCATGAGCACACACACACACACACACACACACACACACACACACACACACACACACACTGCAGGCACCAGAGTAACCGCTTTCACATTCCCTTTGGGATAAAAAAACATACAAAGATTTACCTTACAGCTAAATTAGTGGAGAAATATATGAATATCCATATTTTTTTGTTGAGAATAAAATTTGTTAGAGATTAAAGGGTTCATATGTAGGAAATTCCACCTCCACAATATGAAGGTAGAAATGTTCAAATTTCTAACCAAATTCAGTAAATCCCCATTCCTTCAGTTGTTTTCCTCATCCATGTCAAACCAGCAGCAGGAACAAATTCTGTACATGAAAGTGCTTTTCATGATTAAAGTCTTTAGGCAAAGATTTAAATTAAAATTTTATTTTAATTAATTTATTTATTTAAATGTTAATATTATTATTATTATTTATTTTATTTGTATGAGTATTTGCTTGTATGTAAGTATTTGCTATGTATGTACAAGCCTGGTGTCCAGTGGGAGTCAGAAGAGAATATCTTGTTCCCTGGTACTGGAATGATAGATAGTTGTGAACCACCATGGGTGTGCTTAGAATTGGACCAGGATACTCTGCAAGGGTACCAAGTACTCTTACCCATGGAACCATCTCTCCAGCCCATTAAATATTAATTTTTAAACATATAAATTTATTAAACTGTTTACAAAATCATATATCTTCAGGTTATTCCTGCCTAACTAATATTGCATTAAATAATCCCTGAAAGTGAGCCTCATGTCCAATAATGGAGACATTCAAAGGCCCACCAAGAATAATCAAACCTCTCCATATAGCAGCTACAAATAAGTATGGTCATAACAGGACGTTCGCTTAAGGCATTGGCTCTACCTGTCCTCAGCATGGAGTCCTCCATGGAAGTTTCACATTAAGACATGTCACGTTTTCCAAAACTGAAATACAAATGCTGATTCCCAGGGACTGGGGGTAAGGGGAAATTATGCTACCCCATTGACCTGCTGAACTCTGGGTTATTGCATCTTGTTCAGCTCTTATTCTAGAAGTGAAGGTAAAGAATGTTTAATGTTTATTATCTCATGTAAAGGACTGAATATGCTTTCATTTTGTACCACTTGAGTTGCCAAGCATGAATATAAATAACAAGTGAAAAGTTAACTCCTAGATCTTTAAAGGATGTGAAGCTTAGCAATGAATGACCTTGTTAAAGACTAACATGTAGACTTTAAACAGATGAGAAAATGGAATCTCATGTCCTGGAGTCACCACAGTTTACTAGTTCCTTCATTTTATGTGGAAAAAAATGTGTGTACCTCTGTAAAGTTCTAGGGATACTGTGGTGAGACAGATTGATATGCCTCTGAAAGGTAGAGCCTAGCCAGGGTTGGCAAGAGTTAAACAATCACTCCAGCAAATCAGTGTCTCATGAAAACTCCGACCATGAAACCAGAGCAGAGGACTGCTGAGACAGGTGATTCTGAAGGTATGACAGATTATATGGTGGCATAGGACAAGGAGGTACTACAAAGGCAAAAGGCCAGTGTGATGGTTTGATTAGGTATGGCCCCCACAGACTCATGTGTTTGAAGGCTTGGCCCACAGGGAGTAGTACTCTTAGGAATTGTGGCCTTTTTGGAGTAGGTGTGGTCTTGTTGGAGGAGGTGTGTCATTATGAGGCCTCATATATGGCCTCATATGCTCAAACTGCATACACAGTCACTTCTACTGCCTGGGATCAAGTTGTTCAACTCTCAGCTCCTTCTCCAGCACCATTTCTCTTTGCGCTCCACTGTGATAACAGACCAGCAAATTAAATGTTTTCCTTTACAAGAGTTGCTGTGGTCATGGTGTCTCTTCACAGCAATAGAAACTCAAACTAAGACACCCAGGGAGATGCATCCTTAAATAAGGCATGCATAGTTGTATATCTCAGCACCAATGCCAAGTCCACCTGTGTCCCTGTACTACAATGCTTAGCACCATTGGTCCACAGAATGTCAAGGGGCTGCCAGTTTTCAAGTATTCCCATACACTGAAATGCCTCCATGGAGCTAGCACTGGGTGTCAGACCAGAATGCAGCTGAAACAACACTTGCCCTTCCAGATATCCAAGGAAATTTCCTAGTACCCAGAGTAGTACTAATTCTTTATAATATGAGCTAAGGCAGAATCAGAGTAACAAGCATCAGAGAAATGCCCTGATATAAATAATGCACCATCCTCCCATTCAAGAGCCATTATTTAAAAACACTGCTCCAGGACTTGAGAATACACAGACAAAATCACGTCCTTGAGGAGTTGAGTCCAGTGAGGCAAAATAATCACCAAGGTTTGTCACATAACTTAGTTGATTTAGCAGAAGTGTTAAGAATTTTCTCATAGGATATGACAAATGTTTGATCTTTAAATAAAGTTCAGGTCGAACTCAAGCTTGTTATGAGGCTACATGAGAAAAGACTATTTGTAAAGGTAGAGTAGATTTTTGGCTCTGGGAACCCTTGAAAGTTCTGATAAATGGGAAAAGGTGGGAGAGTAGGGCATCTGATAAAGGGATAGACTTCTGTAATGATCTTTTATCCATTGTGTTGACGTTAACTCCAGTTTAAAAAAAAAAATATTTCCTCAGCTCTTTACTTCTCTGGCTACAGAACAGAGACCTAGCTTAATGTTTGTCTGCCAGAGGCACTTGGCTTCTTTTCAGGCATGTTCACGTCTTCCGTGATCCTCACTACTTCTGCAGCAGCCAGCCAGGCTCACTTCAATCTCTCCTCACCTCTACCTGCTGATTCAGTTGAGAAAAAACAGAGTGGAGCATCAGATGTACTAGATTTTCTTCTCCTAAATTAGACCTTGCTTCTTTTTCCAACTAGCAATACAG